TAATTAATTGTCCATCTTAATGTTTTGAATATTTTTAACATGGATTGTTGATTTTATTTTTACTTAGATGTTGTATTTAAAAATAAATAAATAAATTTGAAATGTTTATGATTTTTAATTAAGGGCCCAATCATAAACATAATTGTTAAAAGGAATTTGAGCTAAAATTGAAATAATCATAAAATAGAACACTTTTTAAATACACCGTAAGCCTTCTCTACCTTTAACCGGGATTGAAGACTTTCGGGTGGACATAATTATTGAGTTGTTTTTTTACACCATTAAATTGGGTAAACATACAATAAAATAATTATGGTTGCCGTTGTTACTAAATAATTACTCCAGATTTATCATTAGCGTGTTAAAGTCGGAGTAGTTATTATTTAGGTGAACTGCGAGAGCGTCCCTAAATACTTTTCTGCAACTCCACACCTTCTATATAAAAATAAATTGACAATCCAACTTTTATAAAAACATTGGACAATTAATTTACCAATTTCTACCCCTAACTTTTTATCATCAAAAACTTTGTGTTGTTTGGAGCTCTCTTCTTTTAACACTTTTTATTTTATCTTTAAAACCAAAAAGACCAAAATATTTTACAACTTCTTTTGTAAACTTTTGTTTAAATTAAATTAACTCACGTCTCCCTGAGGTTCGACACCCTACTTACAAGGGATTCTTTTTAGTTGTTAAAGACCTTACTGAATATAGCACTTGCATCAAATGCCTTCTACCCAAGTTAATGGATTTGTGTGATGTCTACATTAATCATCCTACTGGACCAATGGGAGACAACGAGCTTGATTTGAAGGCTGCTGATTTTTGCCCACAACAGACTGATGCGTAAGTATCAACATATAAAACGAAACATTGTAGTTGAGAGATTTTTTTTGTACATCTTTTAAATAGGGTCTCCTAATATATTTCTTGATTTTTGCAGTGGGAGTTGTGGTATGTTTGTGCTTAAAATTGCAAAGTACCTCATGATGGATATGGACATTAGGGACATTCGTACAGGCAGCATATAGGATGAAGATGGCTACAGAGCTAGTTCGATTTGCAGAGTCAAATATGGCTGCAAAGGAGTGACTATAAAACATATTGATGTTATCTGTTTTGTGTATTGAGCTGGTTGAAAACTCTATTGCTATTTTTGCTTTGTATGATGAAACCTTTGGTGTATGACAACAATGCATATGGTCAGTGATGGTCATTGGTATATTGCATTGTGACTTAGTTTCATTCTGTACTAGAATTCTGTGTTTGGGTACATGTGCCTTTTGTTGGTCTTATGGGGGACCATCGATCACCCTTAGGGATTCGCTATTGTGCTTAGCACGGTATCGGGTATTGACAGCCCAACCTGACGAGGTACATGAGTCGTGTATCTTGCGAAGCCCCTCCTGTCCATCCACCACTCAGTAGTGGGGCTCTGCACTGCTGTAGTGAACTATAGGGGGTGCCCTATAGGAATCTACCTCGGCTTGGGGCTACAGAGAGATGTGGTTAAATACAAAGTGTCCACCTTCCTATCACCAATTGGTTTTAGGAAGCATTTGGCACCTCTTCAACTTCAGAAGTCTGTGGTTAAGCGTGCTGGAATGGGAGTAGTCCCAGGATGGGTGACCCACTGGGAAGTTCCAGAAAAACGATCCTACAAGTGGTATCAGAGCCAAGGTCACGAGTTCGATTCCCAGCGGGAGCAATTGCTGAGGGGGAGATTGTTGGCCATGTGTGCAGCAATTGTCCCGTGGCGGAGGCTATGTGGGCCAAGTCACAGTCGAATGTCGTGGGCGCTTGTGTGTTGAATGCACTATAAGGCTTGGGTATGTGCCTCTTCTAACACCAATTGGTTTTAGAAGAGTTGGTAGCGCCTGAGGTCCTACACCTTTGTTGTGTTTTGAAGTAATGTGAAAGTGAAACTGTTGAAATTCTGTTGTGTTAAACGTGTTTTTTAAATCAATTCTAGTGAAATAATTTCCTCTTTACGCAGTCATCAATGGAAGTATAAAGTGCATATATTTAAATTGTGTCAAAAAAAGACAAATAGAGAATAAAACATAAATTTGAAATTACAAAAGTACTGTGAAAAAAATGACACTCTGTGGTGTTAAATCTATTGTTTAAATTTATTACAGGGAAATAAATTCCATTTTATGGAGTCATGTATGGACGTATAAAGTGTAACTCTTGAAATTGTGTAAAAATATGACAAGTATTTGGCTATTAAATATAAAGCGTGGAGTTCAAGGACCATATTGTTTAACAAAAAGAACATAAAAAATTAAATCATCCATATTCGTAATAAGAACATCTCAAATTAAAATACAAATAGTTGGAAAGAGATAAAGTAAATGATACTTAACAACTCTTAAGTAAGAGCTGCATCTGCCATTGGAATTGGATTGGTGCATGATTTCATGTTGTGGCCATGAGACTTGCACCTCGAACATCTTTGCTTCACTCTACGTTTGCCATAACGGAACTCCCCTACAGAAGGATACCTTTTCTTCTTAGGTCTTCCAGGATGGCGCTTGTTGCAAGATAGAGGGTCACATTTCCTTGATAGAATCTCTTGAGGAATCACCCATCCAGACACATCACCAATAGGATGAACAATTCCAGCATATGTGCACACCAATGCTTCCAATTTGTAAAAGGTGGAAATAAATTCGTAGCAGGATAACCCAGGGCGTTTACCAATCGCTGCAACAGCATGCACACATACAAATTTATCAAGTTGGAACTCACAGCACGTGCAAGTCTTTTCCTTTAGGTTGACAATGAATGATCGAGAATCATTATCAGTAACCTCAAACTCATATGAACAGGAGGCATTGACCTACACACCACA